TTAGGTTGCAAGGTTATGAGATGTTAATTATTCAGCAGGGCTTCACTGAGCACAAACAAAGTACTGTGTGAAATAGAGAAGCATAAGAACCACTGCAAAAGGAGACAAAATACCTCCCTGAAAAAAAGTTATATTAAATGATGCTGTGTTCACACAACATCAATCTACAGAGTTCAGAAGTAAAGCAGAGATATAGTCTAAACATTTTTTTTTTGGTGGTGAATTAGCCATGTGAAAAATATTTCAGTAGTAGAGAGCATGAGACATAAGACGATTATTATTTCCATTACTGCCCCCCCTTTCCAAGTTACTACATTTGGTAAAAAGTTAATCGTTTTATTTTTAATTAAACGAACAATGCATAATATACAATATAATATTATTTGGAAAAGTTCAAGGGAGAAGGAAAATATTTACGGTAAAAATTACAACTCTCCCTTCACAGCTTCCTGTTCACCCTCCAATCTCACCTCTCAGCCCAGCAGCAAGCACTGCTCTCCACCTGCTGGTGTTCCTCCCAGAACAGCTCACGTAAACGTATGACTGTGCTGTGATTTTACATAAATGGACATGTGGGGTTTTTTGCACTTTTCTTACTCAATACCATATTTTGAAGATTTTTCTATGTTAGCATATAGATCATAGAATACATAGAGTTAAAACTCATTCTTCTGAACTAGAATTCCACAGTAGGGCTATACGTTGGCTATTTTTCTACATGTCCATTTTGAAGGTCCAGAAGATGAGAAGCTACTAAGGTCTTACCTGATTTATATAAACAAGTAAACAAGATAAAACAACCCCAACTTGGGGCTTAACAAACAGACATCTTATCTGAACCTCTCACTGACAGTCCCTCACTCAATTCTCAGACCTGAGTCTATTTACAAACCCAGAGTCTCCTAAATGAAAGGAAAGCTGGAAACCTTTGAGGAGTAATAATACCACAAGTATGTTTTGTGACTTTTATTGCTAGCTTTACTCAAAGGGACCAGTGGTCATTTACAGAAGGTCCACATGGACAAAAAGAAAACTCCAGTCCACTGAGATTACTGAACCCTGGCTATGAATTACACTAACTCCTAGAGATCCAGATGTCACTGTGGTTCACTGGTTAGAGTGGGACTCTATAGACAGGTGAGGTGGTCAAAGAAACCATAATCTGAATCCACCTTACAGTAAGTTTAGTGGGACCCTAAACATTTTCTGTGATTAGTACACTCCAAATTAGTTCTTGAGTGTACAGTTGAAAGATATACTCAGGTACCAGCAAAATTTTCACATTGGTTTCCAGACCTTTAGAACAAAAGTGACTAGCCCTGGCTGGGTAGCTCAACTGGTTGTAGGACTGTCCCGATATGCAGGTTCCATCCCTGGTCAGAGCGCATACAAGAAGCAACCAATGAATGTGTAAATAAGTGGAACAACAACAACAAAAATAAAGCAAGACTGATTATGATAGAAAAGACCAAGTGGAAACCCACAGAGCTTTATCCTCTCTTCCCCAAGTTGAAAGAGTAAAACAGAAGCTGTACAAATTCCTTGGCTAATGACATAGTAAGGGTCACCATCAAAGATCTGAAATCTGCATTTGACCTGCCAGCTTCACTGGGGATGAAAATGGATGGGTCTTGAAGAATGACTGAGGATGATAAACTCAATCAGGTAGTACATCCAACTGCCAATGCTTTTCCAGGTGTGGTCTCTTTTGAGGAACATACCAACAGAGGTGCTGGCAGGGAGATACTGCCTGAGCAAATGCCCCCCACCCCATCTATTTAATAGATAAAATGTACCAGAAGCAATTTGCTTTCACCTGGAAGCAACTGTTGAACATCATCTTGCCTTAGTGTTGGCGTAACTATAAAAAAGCTCTGTGTCACCCTTTGGTAGGCAGAGATCCAGATCATCTCACTAGCCCACAGGGTATCATAACAGTTCATCAGGTTGATGAGCTGCCCAGTAGCACTCCATTATTAAGTGGAAGAGCGTGTGTGTGTGTGTGTGTGTGTGTGTGTGTGTGTGTGTGTCTGTGAGAGAGAGAGAGAGAGAGAGAGAGAGAGAGAGAGAGAGAGAGATTCATCTCTCTATACTCTTCTTGGTTATCAGAGAGGCCAAAAGTCTACCAAACACATTTCTCAGACTCTCTTGCTGGGCAGGTTCCAGTTAGGCTTTGACAATGAAAGACAGGTGGTGGGAGAAGGCTTATTTTGTTTGTATGAGGTTTCCTGTCCCCCCTATTTCTGGCTTACTTCCAGACAGCAGTAGCTGTGGACAAGAGCGGGCCCCTGGGTGCCTGTGTGGTTCCAGAGATGGCAATAGAAGCAGGCACTCTGGAAGTCATGCAACAAGTGATCCTGGACTCTGGCTGTGGTTGGGGCAACAAAAGAAGCAGGATTTCAGGTCTCAGGGATCCTGCGATGTCATGGTGGTGGCAGTACCAATGGCAGCATCCTTGGCAACAGGTGCTCCAGCTGGCTCATCTGTACAATGATCACGGGCTCTGTGTAACACCATTCATTAATTATCTGTTGCCATGTAACACATTACTCTCCAACTAAATGGCTTAAAACAACAAGCATTTTTATCTTACAGTTTTGGTCAGGAATCTGAGCATGGCTTATCTGGGTACCTCACGTAGCAGCTGGCTTCCCTCACCATGCGTGAGCAAGGCAGTGAGACAGGGTGCCCAATCTGGAAGCCACAGGACTTTGTGTTCTGATCTCTGAAGTGATATCCTATTACTTTTGTTGTATTCTGTTCACTAGAGTCAAGTTACTATGCCTGCCCCACAGTGAAGTTAATATTTACTGAGTACTTGTGATGGGCCAGGTCCACACACTCTGCCTCCTTCTGTTCTAAGCCATAGACTTGTCTGAGTTCAGAAGTGCTCCCTCAGCATTCCTGAGCTCCCCCAGAGGCGCAGGAACACCAGACTGTTCACCCGATCTGAGCTATCAGTCTGACTTGTCCACCTAGCTGAGTCAGCCACGGCTGCACAATTGCTCTGGCCCCGTAGTGGACGTGCAGCATATCTGAGAAACTTAAGTTTCCTCTGAATTCTACCCTGGAAAGGAAGACACAAGCACTTTCTACAGCCCCTCCCCTCTGCCACCAAACCTATGAGGGGGGTCTGTGTGCAAACTGCAACCCCCCTTTTCTGCTCTCAGAAACTTTACCATAGATCAAGGAAACTGATGTTACATCATCCTGAATCTGTCCCTAACCAATGGAGGGCATAAAGCTCTCCTGTCCTCCAGGTTTCTTGGCTTTTGATATTCAAAGCCAAGCATGTCCACCTAAAACACAAACAAAAACAAGTAAAACTTTTCACCTAAGCAACACTCTTACAAAAGCACTTTGACTTCTAGCCCCAACAAGAAACCACTCCACTAAAACTGTTTCTGCTGAGGATCATGTTGCTTAATCTCAGTCCTCTCATTTGACTTCTCATAGGCATTTGACAGTTTTGTACTCCCCATCTTCCATGAAGCTTCTACATTCTCCTGGTTTTCAACTTTCCACTTTCAGTCTCCTTCACTGGTCCATTATTCTCTTTCTAGACTACCCAGGGACCTAAGGTCCAATGACGTTCTCACTCTAAAAACTCTCCTCAAGTAATCTCATACATCCCCACTCCTAGATACTGATGCCTCCTAACCCTTCATCTCCATCTCAGCTCTTTCTGGGGCCCTACATCCATCTGCTCCTATACTGGCCACTCCAGCAGGTCACAGCCCATCTCAGTAGCACAATGTTGAAACTAAACTTCTCCTCCTCCCCACCCTCCATCCCTGTGTTATCCATCTCACACCACATGAAGAGGTACCCAGAAATATGAGTACCACCTTCTTCATCTCTCTCATTCCTCACATTCAGTCTTGTTGATTCTAGCTCTAAATGTCTGTCAAATCTGTCCACATGTCTCATGCCCTCTGCCACCCTGAGCCCAGCCCTCTATTAATCTATGCCTATATTACTGGAACAGCCTCCTAATTTGGCTCCCTGCCTCCAGCCTGGCTTCCCTCCAACCCATTCTTTTTGCTATAAGGAGTGAGCTTTCTGAAATGCAAATCTAATTACACAGTTCTCAGCAGTATGTCCCCAACACCTCAAAATAAAATCCAAGCTCCTTGCTTCCTGAAGCAGTGATTACCGGTGTCTGAATTTTTAAAATTATTCTACAGTAAAATTCATTCTGTGTGGGATACAGTTCTATAAAGTTTAAGACATGTTTAGTTAAGATTCTGTGGCCACCAAAACTATCCATCAGCCCCCCCCCCCAAACTTCTTCATGCTCTTCCTTTATAGTCAACCTGCCCCCCATCCTTAACCCCTGACAACCACTCACCTATTCTCCATCGTTACAGGTTTGTCTTTCTGGGGAAAAAAGGGGGGGTGGGGTGGGGAATGTAACCTTTTGAAAAAGTAAAACAAATCCCAAGCCCCTTAAAGTAGCTTTAATGCCTCTGCCTACCTGTCCTCCCTCACCTCCAACAACTGCCCCCCACCCTTTGCAATTAGACTGACCTATTTTCAGTACCTGTGAGCTCCACAATTTCTTTCAACTAGGCAACCTACTCTCTCAAGTGTTTTAGAGAGCAGTCACACGGAGGTGTGCTCCACAGTGCCTAGCATTTCCTCCATTGTAACACTTTCAGGCTGTTGCAATGACCAGGCTGTCTCTTCCCACAGACAACTTCTTCTGCGCAGGGATCGTGCTTTGGGCGTTGTTATATGCCCAGCTTCCCTGGATACGCGGAGCTCCGCCAACCCCAACTCACAGAGCACCTGTACTCGCCCGGGTGTCAAGACTTTCCCAGGCCCACGCTGGGAGCCAACTTTCGTAGGCTGAGAGAGCTGGTGCACTGGTGCCGGGCGAGGCGGAGCTTGGCAGGAAGTGGTCGCCCCGCCCCTTGCGCGTGGCCCCAGGAGGGGGCGGGGCTCTGCCGCTCCTACAGCCCACCCCCCAGCCCGGGCTGCGCTTGCGTGCTGGGGACAGCCGTTGCAGGGCCCTTAGGGCTCTGAGACCTCTCTTTTTGGCCCTGAAATATCCGGCCCGGTGGCCCAGGACGTTCCAGTCGCCTGTCAGAGTGCTGCGGACGATGCCTGTGAGGTCCTTAGTTCTTCTAGTTGCGCTGTTGCTATGGCCTTCGTTCCTGCCGGCGTATCCGAGTGAGTGACCCAGCCTGACGGAGCAACGACCCGGGGGACACACCTGGGGGAACCTCCGGGTTCTGGGGCCCACCGGAGTTCTGGCTCTTCTTTGCCCCGCTCCTACACTCCTCCTAAACGCCACTGTCCAGGGGCCTGGCCTTTGATGCCAAGGTGTGTCCCTCTTTTTCTCGTCTCCGACCTGCACGCTGCGGTCCAGACAGTGGGTCCCAGCCTTGACCCGGGATGCGCGGACTGGGCAAATGGGGCTCGCGGGTATGACCTCCTTACCCCTGCGGGACGGCCCTTGATGTTAACGCTGCCCGCTTCTACGTGAGAATCTCTGCACGTGCTTATTGCAGGGGTGGGCAAACTGCAGACAGCGGGCCCAGGTAGCCTGTTTTTGTACGGCTGGAGGCAAAAATGGCTTTTACATTTTTAAGTGTGAATATGAAATATGATCTTTAGTGATAAGTGAAAAAGTATGAAATTCCAATTTCATTGTTCATAAAGTTTCATTGGGACACAGACACCCTCATTCTTTTATGTATTGTCCATGGCTACTTTCCCTTGTTATAACAGCAGAGCTAAATAGTTGCCACAGTGACAGTATGGCCTACAAAGTGCAAAATATTTACTGTCTGGCCCTTTTACAGAGAAAGTTTAACCTCTGTGGGGAGACATGGGGAACATGTAGACTATGGATAGCGAGCGGTCTGCGACACTCACGGACCCCCTGTGCACTCCCACAGAGCATCCTTGGGAGCACAGCATTAAAAGCCTTCGTTAAGCAGAATTATAACTTTCAACTTGTCCCTCCCTAGTAGTTGAAAACTAGTAAGGTCAAATTTAGAGGTGCTAAGACTACTACATTAGCATCATGTGGACACCTTGAGGTATTTAGTTAAGTCCAATGTCTGATATGACTTGCGGCTTGTCCATTTAGTCTGACTGTAGTTCACTGTAGCATTTTGTAATGTTGGGGTTTGGTTTAACCAAGTAAAATTTATTAGGTAGGTGTAAAGGACTGAAGTGCATGCTAGTTATGCATGGCTACATTTCAGAATTGTTAAAAGGTTGTAGTTAGAAATTATATTTAAAAAATGAAAATACAATGCAAACTAAATCATGAATAGCAGTGGCAAAAGTTCTGGAAAAGCATTTTAGATAACTTTAGCCCATTAAATACTAACCCTTATGACTGTTGTTTTAAACAAAAATCTGTGTAAAAATGTTCTTTGCTGTAAAGGAACAGAACATACAGAAGATATTATCTTAATGTCTTATAGGTCATTATTACTAATACCGGTTATTGCATTTTGGTGGTTGTACATCAGTAGGTCACAACTGATTAACACACATGGAAAGTTCCGTTTAGGTGACACTAATACTGTCATATAGCACACTCTGGAACTGGTGAATAGCAGCCCCTGGGTGGTCACTTAAGTCAAAGCAGTCTCCTACACACTAACTTCATAATTTCACGGCCCGTTCTTTTCCTTTGAACCCTCTTCCCTAAACCTCCTTAAAGCTTGTAGGAAATAAAAAGATACTTTTCAAAAAAAAGGAATGATTTTGTGTTGAAGATATAGATGATATACAATAAGACACGAGGAAAATATATACAGGTCAAAGATCATAGAAGATGTCTTAGAAAATGTAATTTACTCCTGTTGTGTAGAAGTGGATGAGGGGTGTGTAAGCAATATTAACACGGCCACTCTATCCGTCTCTGTCTCTCTCATTCTTTTTCTCTAAGTAATTTTAATTCTGTTTATCTTTGGAATAAGTACAACAAAAGAAACCAGGTTTATCATTGTGTTTGATTTAACTCAGTTACATATTCTTTTCATTTTATATAGTCACTATTCCAACCATTGTTTGTGAGAGAATCATAGAAAAAAATGTCCTCTCATGCCAAAGAAAAGGCACATGGGTTTTTATAATGAAAGTGCAATTTCAACAGTTTTTTCCTAGAGTACTAAGACAGTTTTGAAGTTATTTTATACAAAAATCCTTGGTATGATATTAAGTAACTGCATTTGTTGAAAACCTCAGTACTTTTGGTAACTGCTGATACCTTTCTGATAGAACACCGAAATTTAGCTAGTACTTGTTTAGTTTCAATTCAGCATGACATGAATGAAACCTGGGTGTAGAACAGGCTACATTTTCTACATACACATACATCCTGATGTTGCTAGGTAAACACCTAACTATATATTTAAATTTATATATGTGTGTGTGTGTGTGTGTAAATATGTGTGTGTATCAATGTCATCACATCTGATTTTTTCATAGTTTTAATTTTAAATATTTTCCAACTTAAAAAATCACTCCTCTTTAATATTTGCACTGTATAGCTGTAGTGGGTTGTTCAGCTGGAGGTCCCACAAAATGGAGAAAACCGCCATAGCTATCACTTTGGGGATGAGGGAAGTGGAGCAGGGCCATTGAGAGCATCTTTGCACAGCTGAAGAACGTGGCCATTGTTTTAACAATGTTAAAAAGCCGTGCCTGCACTCGGAGTCAGGGAGATGGGCATGACTCTAACCTGTGATAGGATGTAGCTGAAAGGACTTCCTGGTCCTGCGAGAGCAGCTTGTAGGTGGCTTCTGGGTCACAGGACCACACTTGCCAGGACTAACAATGGCAGCTGAGAAAGGCAGAAGAAACTAGACTACTGGCAGGTGTAACCCAGCGTGGGAGGCATTGGAAATGGGGTTACAGGGGAAGATCTGCACCAGGACTTAAACCCAGGCATGGCAGCCATGCTAGGGCTTAAATGCGCAGTTTTGGGAGTGGGGGGTGGCTCTTGACTACACAGCTTAGAAAGCAGGAAAGCAGGGTGTAGCAGCTGTGCGGAGCTGCTACACCCTGCTTGGCCAGGTGGCTTGGAAGGATGCAGAAGGATTCCCTGACCCACCATGAGGGTGCAGTTTTGGATTCTAGTGGGAGCCTGGCCGAGCTATGGACTTCTACATTCTTTTCCTGAGATGCGGTATCCAGATTGGCCCAGTTTGGCAGGGGAAGGCAGCACTGTGTGCGTGTTTGTGAGTGTTTTAAAGGGACTTTGGGATTTAACGGTGACATTCCACCATTAATCTGAACCTGTATAACTTTTGAATAAATAGTTCCTTTCTTCTTTACCAAATTCTGGCTTTGAGAGCCACAGTTCCTACCAGCAGTGGGCGAAGAACCACAGAACAACAACAATAAAACCCAGGCAGGAGGGTTTCTCCAACACAACTTACCTCTTTTTAAATGAGAATTATTTTTTGCTTTTTAAAAAATGTATAACTTTCAAAATAATGTTAACATAATTGTTATATATTCACGCACTATTAACTGATATTAAAATGAATTACATAATTTGTCTTATACAATTTGAACTCACTAAATATTCATGGGCCTGAAGTGACAAACACAAGAATGTGAGGCTTCCAGTCAAGATGGTGGAGTAGGTAAATGTGGTACTCATCTCCTCCCGTGACCACAGCAAAATTACAATGAAATTACAGAATACCATCAGTCAGAACTGCCTGAAATCTAGCTGAAGTCACATCAAGACTGGTAGGAGGGGCTGAGATGCAGAACGGACTGTTCTCACACCCATGTGTGATGGTTAAAAATCAGGAAGTATGTCTTGGTTGCAGAGGTGCTCCTGAGGGAGCAAGAGGTCCCAGCCCCACACTAGGCTCCCCAGCCCAGATTTCCAGGGCTGGGAAAAGAAGTCCCCATAACCTCTGATTTTGAAAAACCAGCAGGCATTGTGGCTGAGTGAGATGGAGGGCTTCTGGAGTCCCAGGTTTCCACTTAGTGCCCATGCACACACTTACTAAGACTTACTTGCTCTGAGCTCCAGCACTGGGGTGCCAGCTTAAAAGATACCAGGACACACAGGGAGGAACTGAATTGCCTGGCTTTGTGGCAAGGGCTGGAGGGGCAGAAGCCATTGTTCCTTCATTGTACCCTCTACCTGTAGGCTCAGGCAGGTGCTACATCTGAGTATCCATCAACCTGGCTAACACTGTTCATCCCACCCTTGTGATCCCTGAGACTCTACTCTTTGTTGGCCCACCTAAGTCATTTCCAGTGACTTTTCCATACAAATAGCCAGTCCTGGCGCATGCTGCGAACTTTCCTAAAATCTCTCAAAGGTTCACAAACCCAAAACAAGCAGCATCTGGCCTCCACATGTGCTGTACCTCTTGCTAAGAGGCCCCAGGCCAGGCCTCAGTTCACAGCTTGGCCTTTCTCTGGTACATCCAAACCCAGCCCAAGTAGCAGCTAGTTGTGGCATGTGTTGTAGCTCATGTTGGATGACCCCAAGCAGGGTTAGGGTTAAGGTTAGGGTTGGCACCCAGGAAGCCCCAGAGCCAGCACAGTGGGTGGATAACTTCAGACCATACCGGAACACCAACCAACCACCTTCACAAACAGCACAGTCAAGGGGCAGACTCATCAGGAAAGCCCCACCAAAGCAATCTTGTTTTGTTGGGTTGGTCCCAGCACAGCAGCTCCTCTGCAGTAGCTGCTGCTCTTCCTTACAGCCAGTTGGCCTGGGGGTAAATCCTTCTCATTGAGATAGATAGTAAGCATAAATATGACATTGAAACCATAAAAAGAACCAGTCAAAAATGAAGAATACACTACCAGGAATCAATAGCAGATTGAATTAGCAGATCAATAGCTAATTTGAAGCAGGGAATCAAATGAGCAATTTGGAGGACAATGTAGCAGAAAACACCCAATCAAACCAGGAAGAACAAAAAAGAAAACATTTTTAAAAATGAGGACAGTTTAAGGGACCTCTGGGACAACATCAAGTCTAACAACATCCACATCATAAGGGTACCAGAAGGAGATGAGAGAGAGAGAGAGAGAGAGAGAGAGAGAGAGAGAGAAAGCGAGCAATGGATTGAGAACCTATTTTAAGAAATATTGTCTGAAAACTTTCTTAATCTGGTGAAGGAAAAAGACACAGAAGTCCAGGAGGTACAGAGAATCCCAACCATGAT